AGCAGCAGAAGTTGACTGTGTGGAGGGTTTCTCTCCGGGGGGAGTTTGTAACAAGCTAGAAACCCCTTCACTAGATGTTTACATTAATATAAATGGGGGGAATCAAATTTTGCAATATCAACCCATGAAAGTAGTGTTCCAGCATGAATAGAAACTGCCCTTCAATTTTTATCAATGCCAACTTTAGCTGCAATAGTAACAAACTAGCTTGAAAAGAACCCATCTGCAAGATTGTTTAGAAACCCAACTCTAAAGAGGTCTTTAAAAGTTTAAATAATACTGAAGTAAAAGCTCTTTCAGTTTGCTGGTCTTTATCCTTGGTGCTAACACAATTAACAACGCTCCTCCACAGCTATGGAGAGTAACATTACATACTTTAGATATAAAGAGGGTGTTAGCTTCTTACTTGTCAAGAAAAAAAGATATTAGAAAGACACCTAATCTTTTTGCCAGCTTGGGTCATGCTTTCCCCCTCTTCCTATGTCCTGCAGGTGCGTAGGAAGAGGGGGGGAAAGGATCAAAGCAATCCCCCAGTTCCACTCCCTTTGGAAAGACAGCGGGGCTAGGGGATCACTTTGATCCCTTTTTCCCTCTTCCTGTGCCCCCGCTGGACATAGGAAGAGGGGGAAAGCCTGACCGAAGCCATCCCCCAGCCCCGGGGATAGGATTCCCTTAAAGCAGGCTTTAGCAAGCCACCTGAAGGGAAATTCCCTCTCTGCTTGTACCTCCAAGCTGATCCACAGGCGCCTAAGCCAATAGGGAAAGAAGGGACGAATATAAAAGTGTTGTATTTGTTGGTTTGTATTTTCACGGTCTCTGTACTCCAAGAATACAAAGCAGTGAATATCTGATGAATCAGGGATATTCATTGAATATACTGATTTGTTTTTATATTCGTCCCCATGTCTACCAAGGACCTAAAAGAGGCCATTCAGTATCTTCACAGCATCTAAGTGGGTAACTAATACAGTCAGATTGGCATATTACATTGCAAAGGCGCCTTTTCTTTCTGCAGTCAAGGGTCAGAGCAGTGGCTTCAGCACCTCTTTATGAGAAGTGTTGATTTACAGGATAAGTACCAACATGTGATGTAACAGCTCACATTCTGACTTTTGTAAGACATTACAAACTTGATTTGTGTGCTCAGAGGGATGCTTCATCCATCCACAGAGTTCTATCTTCGATTTTTCCATGACATCCCTCCTTCTCGTAAATGATTTTGCCAGTCATCAATTTCTGTGAATCATAGAGGCCACATTGAAGAAGAACAGGTTTCTTTTCTATAACTGTGTTTCTTCGAGTGATTATCTATGAATTCACACAATCCAACGCACATCCCCACTTTTCTCCCACCTTCTTTGTGGCAGATAGAGTAGGACTAAGGGAAATTAGGGTTCGTAAGTCACACGTCTTTCGATCCCGCTCTAGAAGAGGAAGTCCTATCTCTTCTAGGAAAGAATGCTATCCAACCTGTCCCAATCTCAGATCTAAAGAATGGATTCTACTCCCTGTACTTCGCCGTGTCAAAGAAAGGTGGAGGCATAAGACCCATCCTCGATCTCAGAATCCTAAACACTTACCTGCATCCAAGACACTTCCAGATGGTGACCTTGGAGACTATCCTGCCCCTGTTGAAGAAAAACAACTGGTTTGTGGTGGTGGATCTGAAGGATGCATACTTCCATGTGACCATCCATCCAGATCATCGCAAGTATCTTCGATTCATCTTCCAAGGAACCATTTACCAATTCCTGGCCTTACCCTTTTGTCTGTCAACAGCTCCCAGGACATTCACAAAGGGCATGGCTCCTGTGGCAGCTTACCTACGCCTCAACGGCATCCACGGCTACCCTTACATAGACGATTGGTTGGTTGTCTCCCCATCCAGGGCTCAGGCCCTGAAAGAAACAAAATTCATTTTTCATTTACTACTGAAGCTAGGGCTCACCATCAACAGAGAGAAATCACATCTCGAACCATCCAAGATAGTGCATTACATCGGAGCACGTCTGGATGCTACCAGAAGTTGAATTTTTCTGCCCAAAGACTGGATTCAAAAGATACGCAAGGCTCTCAGAAGGTTTCGGCCAAGGGCCTGTGTGAGGACGAAACATGTCCAACACCTGTTAGGCCTCATGGCCTCGACCAATCCGACTCTGGCACATGCACGTCTCAAGCTGCGGTCCCTGCAGTCTTGGTTCTTGGCACTTTTCAATCCCATGACAGCCAGCCAGAGAAAACACCTTCGAGTAACTCCAGAGCTTGTTCAACAGCTCCAATGGTGGAACTATCCTCCTCATCTCAGGATAGGCAGACCCTTGCAACCTCTTCAGCTCATTGTGCAAGTGACAACAGATGCCAGTCCGATAGGATGGGGAGCACACTGCGGACGACACAAGGTTCATGCTCTCTGGTCTGCTCAGGAAAGAAACCTCCATATAAACCATCTGGAGATCATAGTGGTCATCAAGGCCTTCAGAGGTTTTCTTCCTATGGTGCAGGTCGTGGTGTCCAATTAGTGACAGACAACACCACAACCATGTAGTATATCAACAAACAAGGAGGGACACGCTCAGGATCGCTTCTGTACCTCGCCATTCACCTCTGGGAGTGGTGCTACCAACACAATGTCTTTCCTGTAGTGATTCATGTGGCCACGACAGACAATGTGTTAGCAGACCAGCTGAGTCATCTCACACATCAGACACATGAATGGGAACTGAACACTCACGTGTTCCAGGACCTCTGTCACCTATGGGGGCCTCCGGTCGCAGACATCTTTGCCTCTCATCACAACGCAAACTGCACCAACTATGCATCCAGAGCTGGCTTGGGCAAGGACTCATTAGGGGACGCATTCATGATCCCTTGGAATCAAGGACTCCTCTACATGTTCCCTCCTCTTCCTTTAATTCAGAAGTCTCCAGTGAAGCTTCGATATTCACCTGTGGGGGCGATCTTCATAGTACCATACTGGCCTCGGCAAGTATGGTTTCCAGCGTTGATGAGGATGTCCTCAGAGTTCAAGAGACTACCAATGTTACCCGATCTCTTGACACAGGATGCAGGCAGGGTGTTCCATCCGGACGTGGAGATGCTGCATCTAACGGCGTGGAGGATCTCCCCGAAATCAAGGAGGTGCTAGATCGAACCATAAAACCGTCCACTTCTCTACTCTACAACTACAAGTGGAAAAGTTTCCTGAAGTTTACTGAGGCCCAGGGGTCTTGTATCATCTCCTGTATCTCTTTCTACCTTGTTACAATACTTACGTTACCTATTTGACTTCAAGTTGTCTCTTTCCACCATTAAAGTTTACCTCGCTGCAACTATCTCCTTTCAGCCCAAGAACTCACATCTTTTCTCCCACCCTACGGTTAAAGCGTTTCTTAAAGGACTCACTAACTTGAGACCTCCAGTTCGACCACCTATTCCACAGTGGTCCCTTCAGTTGGTGTTGCATGCCTTCACTCATCCTCCCTTTGAGCCCATGGCTATGTGTGACCTCAAGATGTTATCTTTGAAATTGTTATTTCTTGTGGCCATCACTTCTGACAGACGGGCAAGTGAACTTGCTGCCCTTCATTCTGATCAACCTTTCCTTCAGTTTTTCAAGGATAAGGTACTCCTACACCCTGATGTGTCTTTTCTTCCAAAGGTGGTTTCGGACTTTCACCTCAACCAGCCTTTGCTACTTCCCACTCTGTTTTCTGCACCTACAAATGACACCGAGCGCATGCTCCACACTTTGGATGTCAGGAGGGCTCTGGCCTTCTATGTTTCTAGAACCAAGGAATTTAGATCATCCAACAGACTTTTCTTCTGCTACTTTGGGAAAAAGAAAGGCCTTCCAGCATTGCCTTCAATGCTCTCCAGATGGCTTGTCTCCACAATCTCACTGGCTTATGAGCTTCAGCATAAGACTCCACCTGAAGGTCTTCAGGCTCACTCCACCAGAGCCGTGGCCTCTGCCCTCCTACATGGTGTTGATCTGCCTGACATCTGCAGGACTGCCACTTGGTCTAATGTTTCCACCTTCATCACTCACTACAGACTAGACCTGAGGGCTAAGAGAGAGAGAAGTTTTGGGAAAGCAGTGTTGACTTCTGTCCTCCAGTGACAGCCCACCATCCGGTGAGTAAGCATGCTAATCACCCTTTTAAGTGCATTCACAGAAGACCACGATGAAGAAAGAGAGGTTACTTACCTGTAACCATGGTTCTTCAAGTGGTCATCTGTGAATTCCCACAATCCCGCCTCTATCTGTCACTGGCTGTATCGAGCTCATGCTCAGGTACCTATGGCGGATAAATGGAACTGAGGCTTGGGCGGGTGGAGCATGCGCAGTACAGGCAGCCTTAAACTTTGTTTAAGAGAAAAGCTCGAGAATGTTCCAAGAGGACCAACGCTGGCACTGGGTTAACCCTTTTGTGTGAATTCACAGATGACCACTTGAAGAACCATGGTTACAGGTAAGTAACCTCTCTTTTTCCTCTACATTGTCATCTTCTCAATCTCTTCTCTATTCACATAATCACCTTTAATATTGGTGATGCATAAAGCCTTCAGTTTTTTTCTTTGCATCTTTTTTCTTCCTTGGGCACTCCTCCCCCTTTCAGTCTGTTACCAAAACAGGCCTCTTTTCCCTTTACAGCAGGGGCACTGCAGTGGGGCAGAGCTTTCCATTTGCAGGATCCGTGAAGATTTTGCAGATAATCAAAAATTCTTCATTTTTTTTTGAAACTGTCTTAAATGTGGACATGTCTCAGTGAAACTATGCACATACTTATACCTTTCATCTCAAAATTCCATTCAGGAAGCCTTTTCAATATTTCCCTAGTCTCAACATCTCAATGCAGCTACCTTGCTTTGTAAATTGATGTAGTAGTTGATATAGAGTAGCAGCCATAACATTGATGATTGCAGAGATTCTTCTGTTTAATAACAGTAACAGATGGTGATGAATTCCATATCCTTACATAATTTAATCTTTCCTTTAGGTAAATACTGGCACTCACTCCAGCGTTATTCCTCAACAGTTAGTTACTCTTTGGTAGAGGCACAGAAATGTGAGAATGAAGAAGCAGAAACTGTAACTGCTATGGCATCATTGTCAGTGGGAGTTAAGCCACCATCAGACAAAAAGTGAGTTTCATTCTTTTCTGTTCATTTTATCCTAATTACTTATATAAGTAAATATGTAAATACCTGTACTATTTTAGACAAGAGTTATAAAATGAGAATGGGCTGTATCAAGTGGAGTGACATTGTAGAACAACATTGTAGAATGTCTTCTAACAAAGGTTTCCATCATCAGTGTGCTTTTTGGTGATGATTTTTGGCAGTTCTTCCCCTGCAGTCCTTGTCTGAAGTGTGCTCTATTAGGTTAGGGCATACTTTAAAACAGCATGGGAGATAGCAGAATGTCTGGAGGGGATTGCCGAAAGTTCCCTCATTCTCTGTTTCACTGGAACAAAAGGTATTCTGTAGGCAGAATGACACTATTTGGATACAACCAATACCAGTAAAACAGGTTTAGTATTTTGGTTTGAAGACCAATGGAAACAATTTGCAGATGCAGCAGAAGACAGGAGCTAATGTGGTGAAAAATCTAGAAAGAGGGATAAAAGGAGAACTGTTCCCATTCAGCCAGAAGAAAAAAAGGTAATCTATTGGGAATGTTTGTATTCTTAAAAGTTATAAAACTGTGGAGCTTGTATAAGAGACATGTAGATCACTTCCTTGCCTGCCTGCCCCAATCCCTCTATCTTTTCTTCACCCAGTTCCATCATTTTGACTCTCTTTGGTGACTTTTTTTCCAGACCAGATGAGGAGCCCATGGAAGAGGATCCTCCACTGTAGCATTCATCTTTAAGACTGGAGTTCTCCTGTTCATTCGTCGTGTCTTGAATCTCTGCCAAGAAGCTTTCTCTTGTTAGTCCTGCATCCTGTCATGGTTTCCTTCCAAACTAGAGAAAGCAGTCATGTGTGAAAGAAAGCTAAATCCATATCTGTATAGAATATACTTGTGGGAAAGGAAAAAATGCAGGTGAAGAGCAGAAATATGAAAGACATGGGCACTGAGTGTTCTTCCTCTTTTTCCGGAATGGAAGCTATGGGAGGCAAGAGGCCAGTGAAGTATTTGGCAGAGTTGCCAACCGTTTCTTTTTCTTTCTTTTAAGAAATCAAAGATTTATGACAGACACAAAAACTTTCGTTTAAAACTGGTGCTTAAAAGTTTGATTACCCTCCATTCAGACCACTCAAACCATATTCAAGTTTTGTTTATGTTTTATTTTTGTGGCTTCTGCCTAACTGTGATACAGACATTCTCTTCAAAGCCCAAACAATATGAAAATGTGTGTTTTTTTCTTCATATGAAGGGTGAAAAAGAGAACTAACCTTTTTATACCAATATACACATACATGCAGACTATATATGTGTGGAGAGGAGGAACATAAAACAAGGAAGAAAGCCCAGAAAGGGGATCGGCTTTAGCATCTCCAAAGCCATCTGAAGAGTTTGTGCCTTTTATAAACATAGATTGGATTGATTTGGGGCAGCTGGATTTTTCTGACATTTTGAGGAACAATGCCTTAAAGAAAAGAACTCTGTAGCAGTTTCTGTGGCAGAATAGGCCAAGAACTGCAACCGTCAAGAAAGGCTTTAGGATTTCTGCTAGTATGATTTCTTAAAGCAAGCAATGGCTGGAGCTTCTGTGAAACAGTCTACTTGTTTGGGTTCGGTTTGGTTTGGTTGCCGTTTAAAATAAAAGTTAAGGTAGTTGCCAGTAATGTGGCAAATACTGTTGGGTTTCTAAAATTGAATGATTTTTTAAAAAATCTATACATTATGTATAACCATTTAAACTATGAATTTGGTTGTAAAGCATGCAGCAGGCAGAATTGCAGGTTTTTTAAAAAAATGGAATGCTTTTTATTAAAAGCAACTAGCATGAGATACTGCTTAATATTTTAGGTATAAATATATTATGTATAATGTATATTCCAATTGTATTCCAAACTTAGAAATACAACTCTTAACAAATTATTGATAAAATATTTATAATGCATTTATATAAAATATATAAATAAATGCAGATCACAATGGTAGCCATTGGAAGTTCCCTTGCAAAAGATTTATTTGTGAATTGGAATGTAAGGGTTTTTAGAAAAGAGATCTGGTTTGAAACTTGACCATTTTCAAACTGTAGTTTGGAATGATTTCAAAATGCCAACATTTTAGCCACTGGCAACTACCCTAAACGTTGCTGTTTTAATTTAAAGTTTTTGACTTTGATCCTCTTCTAACAAATGAGTTTTCTAGGAAATGCATATTTGTTGTAGATTTATTTTATCTTGGTTTTCATGAAAGTCCTGCCTTATTTGCATGAGTTTTAATTTTTAATTTCCATTTGACAGCTGTGTTTCCAAAACAGTAACCATTGTCTAGACCTGTGTCATTTTCCCTTGCACGCTGGAATTTTGTTTGTGTTTTGCCTTTTGTACAGTGAACAGTTTTCATGGTCATGTGAGACAGTTGCAGATCGTTAGGCTTTATTTTTAGAAAGCCCTTTTCACAAAAAGAAGGATTCCAAGGTCGTTTTTATACCAGGTAATTGATTGTATATTTTCTCAGTTCTTCAGTCATCGTTGCTATGCTACATTTAAAAAAAATAAGGAACTTTCTTACCTTAAAAATGTATTCGTATTATAAAGAGTGATGTATCATATATCCTCAGTGTAGACTGTGGCAAAGATTATTGAAGGCATCAGCAACTTAAATGACCATTTTGGAGGTCTGCCAAACTCCATTGGTGCAGTTAATGCTAATACAACACAGAGAACTTTTCTGGAACCACTCTCATTGACTAAGTCCTCTAAAAAACTGTTTCATCATGATGGAGGAGGAGGAGGAGACAGAGGCGAAGGCTGTTGATTACTTCTTATTGGCTGGAAGAGTGCTAATCTTCGCCATCATTTCCTTTCCCCCATTGCCTTTTGAGGTGAGGGGAGTTGACCCTCAGAGTAAGTAACTAAACTTTTAGTAGTGATATTAGATGGTTGGAGGAGACTGAATTGAGGTGTTCTTTTTCAAGCTGTGTAGGATATTTCATGTCCTTTATCTGAATCAACAGTTGTATTTTTTAATTTTATTTTTCGTTTTAATTTTTTAAATAACTGACAGGGTCACTTTGTATAACTTATTTTCTGGTTCTGAATTTTTTCTTTTCTTCATTCCATTACAAGTGCATTAGTCAGAATTAAAACAAATCTGAGTGAGTGCATGAAAGAGTTTTAGGATTTTATTTAATGCTCAATATGCAATTTTTAGGATAAGACACTACGATATTTAAGTTCTTGCTAACCCAAATACATTCAAATTGATGAATACATTTTGGCATTAGAACTGCCAAGAACAATTACTCTAAGAGTAAATTTTGACAGTAAAGATAAAATGTATATTTTATAAAATGACTACCTTGCTGCTGTGATCTTGAACATGTTTTGCTGTGGAATCACCTGATTTCATATTTTGTTGCTTTACCCAGTTATCACTATTGATATCACATCAACCTAAAATCCAAAATCCATTTTATTTCAAGCACCAATTTACATGTTATATTAAAAAAAATCATCATGTGAAATTGTTGATATACAACTTAGTGGTGTTGATAAGGTAGTCTCAACTGCTTTCAGTGTTGCTACTTCCAAGATTCTTCATTTGTTTCTTACAAACAAGTTGCTACATTATTGTCAATACTAATCTTTTCAAAATCACACCTTTGTTATATATCAGTCTGTCCCACGGTGTAAAGCAGTTGGGTCTGATTAAAACAAGGACTGCATTATCTCACTCCAAAAGTGAATCTGGGTTTACCTCTGCAGTTATGTCGAGCAGGAAGGGAACACTGGCATCATGCAGTTGGGGAGGTACCACTTGTAGCCTTGATTTTTTTTGTCAAGAAGTTTACTTAACAAGGACCTGATGGGAATACATGTGAGCTCTTTATGTACAAAGAGCCCAAAGTGATCTAGGCAATTAGCTTGTATTTCCCGCATTTTTATATACTACAAACAGGAGGTACCTGAATTCCACCAGCAAGATAGTGAAGGTTGTTTTTACTAACCCAGCTTCCAGAATATTGGGGTGGTTTATTACATCTCATCTCTTGTAGCAATTTAGAAAACGAAGGAACATCTTGAAGCTGTATTACCCAAACGTGAGTTCTAGGTTGTAGTACACAGTACTAATACTTGAGTATTTGAGGGTTGTTTTACTTTAAGTACACAGACATTCCTTTTTATTAATCATGTACTCATTCCATTCTTCCTTTTGTAAACTTTTGGGCCCACATTTTATGGGCATTGATATATATAAACACACACACACACAAACATATATATATATATATATATAAATATATATAAAATATATATGAATATATTTTTTTAAGTTTCCTACACCTTGAGGTTGCATGGTCTGTTAGGTTGGCATGTCTTTATATTGTATACAGATTTTGCACGCCACACTTGGCAGCTTTGGAAAAAAAAATCCCCTCTAATGGCATTACCAAGAGATGAAGGATTAGGATGTTTTGAATCACACAAATTTAAAAAGAGGAGCATGGAGGGGGGAGAGGACATTTGTCTTATTGAACTTACTATGGACCTGTGCTTTTTTTTGTAAAATAAGATAAAATACAAAGGACTACTTAAACATTTGTCATTTTAAGAAAAAAATATCTAGCACTTGTGACAAACCAATAATAGAGTTTATTGTATTTATGTGGAAAAATGTTCTAGGGAAACTACACAGAACATACAGATAAAAACTGCCTGTATCATTTTTTAAAGACCGGGGGGTGTTTTTCTTTAGGCCAGGGAAGGGATATGGCAGGCACAAACCTATGCCAACTTTTTTCTATTCTCAAATGAAAATGACAAGAACTTTAAGGGTTAACGTCAGCACAGCTGTGCATTTTTTTAATTACTTGGAATGATGTATCAATAGATTTCACTTTTAAGCAGTGATGTACTGTGCAAACACTGTGGTTTCAAACACAACTTTATATCAGCAGGAAATGAAGTTTCTTCATAGTGATAGTTGAGCTTGGTTTCCTCCCAGCTTCACCTTGTATTTGATATTGATTAAAAGAATCTTCTGGAAAGAAAGAAAAACAAAGAATTTAACACTTCTGGTGCTCTACGTTGGAGTTGCTATATATGTGGGTTGAGAAATTATTCACCCAAGAGCTTGTTACACATATGTAGTACCAAAAGTTGTAATTCTTATTATATTCTGCTTTATGCCTATACATGCTCAGTATGTTGTCACCATTGGTAGCAGCTACCAGTTTACTCTGTAATTTAGACACAGTTTCACTCTTAACTGTATGAATCCTTTAAGTGATGGTAGCATATTCTTTGTACTTAAATTTTCTTACGACTTTTTTCCTTTACTTGGTGAAGTTGAATTTTTTTTTCTCTAGATCTCTCTCATTCCTGTTTTTCTTATTTTGTTTTACTTGTTTTTTACTGGCCAATGGTGTCTTTCTCTGACAATACCAACTTCAATTTCAACTTTAATAGAAGTCCAGTATTTTGTACCACATTATGACAACTTGTTATTCTTGTGGTGTAAATAAAGAGATAAAAGTGAATTATAATGCCATCCCTCTTGCTCTTGTTTATCTTCATGTGGGTTGTCTTCACTTTACTCTTTCCCTTTGCTTTTGTGTCTCTACATCAGAGGATTATCTGCATGTATTGCCATATCCTAACTATGGTTTATGAAACTGACATGTTGACTTAGAGCTCTAGAGCAGAAGAGCTTCTACTCATATAGGTCTTTGAAGAGGCAGATTTGTCCCTAAGGCGTAGTTATTAATAAGGTCAGCAGTCCAAGAAGAAAAGTATGTATAACAGCAACCCTTAATAAGGTGAAAAAGTTGTTTGGAGACTTGTATTATTTCAGTCTGTAAGTACGGAGTCTTTTGATTACTACTAGAGATGGGGGTATTCATATTCATATTCAAATACAAATGTCCCCGCTCAGCTGGACATAACAAGGGTCTGGCCCTCTGGGGCCAGACTGTCCACTCATGCCGCCACCGCCGCCACCGGGCTTGGCTCTCCCTTCCAATCGTTCCAGAGCCCCCAGTTGGCTAACCATTTGTCAGTCTTGCAGGGAGATTTGTCTTCCCTCCTTCTGCCAAGAGTTGCTAGACTATGGGGAGCTCTGGAGCTATTGGAAGGGAGAGCGGAGCTGGTGGTGGCAGCAGATGCGTCAGTGGATGGACCAGACCCTTGTTATGTCTAGCTCTCCAGAGGTGTTTGTATACAAATACCTCCATTTCTAATTACTACACTAGAGTGATGTTGCAAAATACCTTTTATACAAGGAGGTGCTGATAAGTATTGAGTCTTACTCAGAAAAAAATTAAGCTAGGAAGCTATAAATTGCAGGGTGTATTAGCCAATTTGTCTGTATTCAACGGTGCAAAAATCAACTAACTATGATTTTAACTTAACTTTCATGTTCAGGTCCAAAGTGAACATGGCAG